CGCTGGCCATTAAAAAAAAAAAAAAAACAACAAAAAAAAACAAAGTACTATAAAGTGATTGACTGACTTGTCCACACAGTTTTACAAATACAAAACGGTGGCGAAAAGTTGACTGACCCCCAGGGGGGTGGGGTTGGAGTTGGGGGGTGGACTGCTTTTCCGGGTTTTGCCACTGGGCCTCAATTGCCAAGTTGGCATGTTGAAATATTTAAAGCCGCTTAAACAAATTGTGGTCTGGTCATGCGGTGACTTCTCAGACAGTAAAATATATCAGCAAAAGAGAGAGAAAGACAGGGAGAGAGTGCCCAGAGAGAGAAAATCAATAAAATGTGGTGTGGGTTATGTGAGGGGTAGGGTAGGTAGGGTCACTTTCGTAATCTCTCCACATAAAACTCTCTCCGTTCTCCTCGTTAAGGCGCATTAAATTACAAATTCCATTAAAATGATTATTAAAGCAAGTATTTGCTAATTAATTTACTTGGCTACGCACAATGGAAAGCTGGCAGGACGCAATTAATAAATCCAAATGAGTAGAGCAGCTACATTATAAGCAGAACTCCAAGGAGGCCTCTTGGCTTGGTCTGTGTGTGTGTGTGGGCACAGCAAACACCCTGTAAAACACTCAAATTTGGTGGGGCGGCGGCGGCTGCTTAAATGTGTGCCATTTGCTTGCCTCCAACCCTCAAGCAGCGGTCATTAGGCAGGCAGCAGCCCCTAGCTTTGATTATGTTAATTACAATTTAAAGAAATTTCGGGCTGGGGATTTATTAAGAGATTTTTGGAGCCAAGAGAGTGACAAGACAACTTTAATATTTACTTAAATTAAGTTCAAGCTTTAAAGAAATTTGTAAGAAATAAATGGCAGAGTTCTAAGTAATTTTTGACAATTTTTGCCACAAAAGCCACAGAAAATGAAGCACGAAACTGAGGCGGCACCTTCAACTAAGCGAAGCCTTAACCCTCTTTCTGGCAGTCATGGAATATAATTTCTCTGCTATTACGTCAGAGCAACACCACAACACAGCAATGCCCCAATAGCATTCAGCCTACAGCATTCAAAGCAAACTATAGATTCAATTAGCCAGAGCCAAGAGGCGTAGCCTGTATCTAATGGCAACACCCCAACAACAGCAGACAAATCATCATCATCATCCATGCTACACAGCCAATCCAATTCCATATAGCAATTCCATTAGATTGTGCCACGTCTCGTGCACTTGTGCTCTGCTCTACTCACGGTGTGTATTGTGTTGGCATCGTAACAAGGCATCTACCCTTTGTTACCCACTGAAACCGTGGCACACACACACACACACACACACAATGAATTACAAACGCCACATGACCCCGCAGCAGAGCAGAGCAGAGCAGGGCGGGGCAGGGCAGGGGGCGGGCGGCTGCGAGTCACAAGTACTCGTAGTTCTTATGAATAATAAAGCAAATAATCTGTCAGCGTCGCAGCCACAAAACCAAAATAAGGACCAAACCCAGCAAGCAGCAGCAGCAGCAGCAGCACAGCGAATGTCAGCGAGAAATCTACACAGAAAGCAGCGACACAGGGCAGGGCCAAACGACTCAATTTGGTTGGATGGAGAGAGAGACCACAGACAGAAGGGGAAATTCGAGTACTTTCATGCCGGTTGAGCCGCTTCTTCCAGCGACATTTGCTCTGTCTGCCTGCCACTTGCTTCAATGAGTGAGAGGGGCAGGGTGAGAGGAGAGGTTGTCCAGCTCCATCAGGCTGGAGCACGGGTGGGGGGGCGGGTGGTCAGTGCTAATAACACGAAATCCGATTTGAACGTTCGCTGGCCCTGCCAGCCAGTCGGCCCTGCGTGTGATAAAAGGCAACAACAATATCACGCAGCCGTCTGCGGTTTGCTCACTCTTCATACACTATCCTGGTGGGGTATTGTGGGGCTATGCGGAGCGCTCTGGCCATTCATTGGAGGGGCTAGACATTGCGGCACAAGTGTATGCCAAACTTCGTCACTGCTCAATCGATCATTTTGCTTGGTACGAAGGGTGGTGGGAGGTAGGAAGTTTGTGTGGCTTGTGCCACGCTGCGTATGCGTAACGTGCGTTTTAATGAAATATTGAATTTTATTGCCTGCGTGCCTGCCTGCCTGCCTGCCGCGGCAGAAACAACCTGCCTGACAGACCCGTCAGCCGTGCCTGCCCCCACAACTGGTAGCCGCCTGTCAACAACTTTCAGCGCGCTTCGTGGTCAAAAAAAAAAAAGAAATACTGACCCTGACCCACCGCAGGCAGGACCTGCTTCACAACTTGTCACTGCCTCGAGGGCACGGTCTGGGAGATGATATCTTTGACTCCACCCTCCCGCCCTCCGCTCTGCCTGCACTCTTCGTGCTCCTGCCTTGCTTCTGCCCTGCTCCTGGCCCGCTCCAGCCCTGTCCTGCTCCTGCTCCAGCCCTGCTCCAGCCCTGCTCCAGCCCTGCTCCTGGCCTGCTCCAGCCCTGCCCTGCTCCGACTCCTGCTCATAATTTGATTCGTTTTTATTTGTTATGCAAAAACTTGAGGTATATTATTATTATTTCCCCATATAGTAGGCTTGCTCTTTCTGCCTTGCTACCCTTGGAACTGGTCGTGATCTCCCTTCACTTTTTACCCTGTATTTTTTTTATGTACTTTTCGTTACGCCTGCCCCATGCCGCCTGCCTCTAATAAAAGCAATTTATGAAGCCCAAAGCGCGGAAATGAATTGTTAACCGAACAAAAAAAAAAAGGAAGAAGAATAAAACTTTTGGTCAGGAGCAAGAGCCCAGACAGTGGTCAGGAGTGTGGAGTGTGGAATGTGGAGTCCAGGGCTGTCAGGTTGTTGGAGTTGTTGTTGTAGGAGGATGCTGTCCATGATGTTCGTTGATGAGTGGGTGGCAAAAACGCCTTTGTCTTTTGTTTATGGTCACGGGAATCACTCGCCCCCACCCCCACGCCATGCCACACAACGCACACTCCCACTGCCTGCCCCTCCCACACCCACTCACTGCCCCTGCCCCTCCCCACGTGAATGTACCACACGTAAACGCCTTTTGTGGCATTGTGAAATTTCCCAGAGCGCACATAAAAATGAAAAACGCCAAAAGGGGGAGATAAAGTGAGTGAAATGGAGTACACGGTGTGGGTGTGTGGAGGGGGGGCGCAGGATGCCGTACAAATGAGAATGCAATCTTCACAGTATGCGGTCGAAAGCGGGAGGGAGAGAGAAAGAGCGATAGAGAGTGGGGGAGAGTAAAAATCATTCAGCTATGGGATAATGCAATCGGTAGATGGAGATGCTTCGACAGCAGCTGCTGCCGCAGCATCCTATAGCCGGGGCAGCAGGTGATTCCAATTAAGGAAGCTAATACGATAAGTACTCGGATATTAAGAGAGCGAAAAAAATGAGCGAAGAAAAATGTTTCCCGAGGAGCAGAGTGGGAACACCGGAGGAGGTAAAAGGCAGGCGAAAAAAAAAACGGAGAGTATCCAATGAGGAATGAAATTGTGAAAACAAGAGGATAAATTAAATATGCTAGTGTAATTTGATCCTCTGCGAAATGAGTTAAAGTGCAGCAGCAGAAAGCAAAAGAAAAAGCTAGAAATTCAACTTAGTCTGGGGAATCTTTGGGAAGAATACTCGTACGGAGAGTACGATGGAAAGCTCATAGTTCATCGCTTGATGGAAATTTTTTTCAATTTAATTACAGAAAAAACTATGAAAACATTTTAGGAAGTAAATTAATAGAAATTCTATTATTCTATTATATTGCTTTGATAGGAACACACAAACGGGTGTCTAGTTATAAAAGGAAGAGGTCTCGGTCTGGGCTATAAATAAACATTTTAAGTTCATTGCTAAACCATCTTTCTTAACACATTAAAACTTGTTCTTTTTTTTTTAAGCTTAAGTTGATGTGTGACAAGAATGGAACCCATAAATGACCAATATATCTATGAAAAAAGGTAACGTTGTTTAAATAAATCCAATAAATAATGTTCCTTAAAGCTAAACAAATGTACAGAAAGTGGAGAATTCTGTAAGGAGTCCTCCCAATATTTAATAAGTAAAACTAAAACCGAAGCAAATGTTTAAAGAAATCCAAGAAATATTATTCCTTAAAGCAAAACAAGGTGGAAAAAGAATGTGGAAAATTTCTGTAAGGAGTCCCTCCCAATATTTAGTTAGTTAAACGAGATCCGAGGCAAATGTTTAAATAAATCCAAGAAATAATGTTCCTTAAAGCTAAACAAAGTGAAAAAAGAAAGTGGAAAATGCTGTAAGGAGTCCTCCCAATATTTAATTAGTTAAATGCGAAATGCGAAGCAGATAGAGAAGAGATAGAGTAGAGATAGAGGTAGAGGGTAGAGTAAAGAGTAAAGAGCAAGAGAACGAGTTTAAAAATGCAAAGTATATATGTAGGTACATTTTATTAAGCACAAAAAAATGCCTTTCTTCTTTAAGTTATATTTTACAAGCACAATTTATTGTAGGTTTTATTTTCATTGAACTAGAAAGATGTATTTCCAATTCAATTTATGAATTGAAGCCCGCACACACAGAGCTGCCTGCCTGTCTGCCAGCATGGCAAAAGGTATACCATGTGGCGCTGTGCATATTGAGGATTAGCAACTAGAATGGAATTTCTCTGGTTTGGTTGGTGGCACACATTTTTTTCTTCTTTAAATTCTGCGATGTATTTGCCAATAAAGACCATCCATCGATACAGCAACAACAACAAAAAAAGATAAACGAATATAAAGCAGAGCAACAACGAGCCAAAAACCAGCAAGAGGCGTTCCAGAGTAAAAACCTCAGGCCAGGACCAGGGACAGGACCAGGGCCAGTCAGGGCTCGTTTGCTGATGCCTCTGATGATGATGATGGTGCCACACAGTCTATGCCCCCTGCTGTTGCACAGCATTGTTCATTTTTTTTGTGTATTTTTTGTTGTTGTTGTATTTCCCGCTCTCCCTCCCTCTGTTTAATTGTGAGATAAAACTTACCGATAATGAGCAGCTTTATGGTCGACATGTTTGACCGTGTTTGCAGTGCTTTTTTCCTCGTTTTTCCTTATTTTTTTTTAACGTTGATTTTCCTTTTTTGGTTTAATTCTTTTTGTGGGTTTTTGTTTTATTTATTTATTTTTTTTTTTTTGTGCGTTGCGTTGCTTGTCTGTTTAATGCGTAGCCGCAGCTGTTGCTGCTGCTGCTGGCCGGATTGATATTTACAAAAATATTAATCCCATGCAAGTGCGACAGAGACGGGCACGACGAGATAAGAGCGAAGCGGCGCGACGCATATGCCGTCGGGGCGGGAGGGAGGTAACAGTTTGACAATCACTGACAATCGCGAGCGCGTTAAATTGCATTTTAATGTTGGTATGGCAATGCCACTTTGATGACTATAATGCTACATGCCACATGCCACATGCTTTGGAACTGCTGAATTGTTTTTTTTTTTTTTTTATTTTTTATTTGTGTATTTTTCTCGGTATTTTTTGTGTGGTTTTTATTTGGAGTTTTTTTTTTAATGATTTTCGTTGTCCTTTTGTGTGTTAAATGTTTATCGAGCAGTTAATTATGGCCACACTTGAGCGTTGATTTGCATGATTTTCGCTTGATTTTTTAGCATAGTTCCAAGAAAAGTGCCAGCCAAAAAAGATTTTTATTTTTAAAATTTATTTTAACACCTGGAAGCAGAATTTCTGTGTGCTGGAACGGCAACTGTAATTAAATGTATTCAATTAAATTAAAGAAGACAATTCCGCAATGATTCAATACACACACAGAGAGACACACACACACACCTACACCACAGATGGCAGACACGCACCGAATTCTCATGCCTGAGAGATGTGCCTCATGGAATATGCAGTAGGAAGACGCCTAGAAGTAGGCAATGAATATTTAAAGCCACAGACATTTCAATTTGAAGCAGTCCTCCCCCCCCACCCACAGAGAAGAATGAGGTTGGGCAACGCCCAGACATTAAATTAACATATTTCCTAAATAATAATAATTTCACCCAGTCAATGTGCCCCCCCAAGTCCAGTCTCTGCCATACATACGTGTGCGGTCAGAGGTCAGAGATGGATCCCTTTTAAATGGAATTGGACATTGAATGGACTCGGAGCACAGAGCACAGAGCAGAGATAGAGTCCTGCCTACACATGTAAACTGTTGCCTAATGTCTTATTCATGTTTACACTGTCCCACTACCAGGGCAAAAGGACTGGACTTATGAGCGGTCTGCATGTCAGTCGCTCCAACAGTCGCACTTTGCGTGCCCCAAACTTATTAGAATGCCCCAACCAACCAGAGGTGTGAGCCTGGCCCCGGTTATAGAATGGTTAATGAGTGCTGAGAGAATGAAGACCAAGCCCCGGCAATTGTTGGTGTGCTATTTATTTTAAACTGTCTCGAAACACACACACACACACACACACAAAGGGCACAAAGCATTCGGCACTGGGGCCACCCAATTGTTGTTAATGGAAATCTTATGCCTCGTTGGCTCTGACTCGGACTCGGACTCTGACACGGCACTTCTGGAATTAAGTGTTGTGTAAAATATTTTCGTTGTTGGCTTATTAATTATTTATGGCAAACGAAGTTATTGGTAAAAGGTGAAACTATTTATACACATATGAGTTTATGCTCAAGCTGTTGCTGTTGCTGTTGCTGTGCTGTGTGCATGTGAAATTTTCGGTTGAAATTATTTTCAGAATTTAATGTATATATTTAAATATATTTTTTATATATTTTATATATATTTTATATATATTTTATATATATTTATAAATATTTATATATTTAAGGGAATATATTTCTCAAATATATTTTTTAGTAAATTTAGTGGCATTTAAAAATAATGAATTACATTTATTGCAGTTTAAATTAATTCGGTGCTTTCTCAACATTTTGAAATGCAAGTGAAAAGCATCACTAAACCTTGCTCAATGACTGAATACTTTATTATTTAATGGAAACATAGAAATATCTCGAGAGTTTGAACAAAAACTAGTCACTGGAAAATACTATTGAATACCAACAACAGTGGCCACATCAACTAAGAGATAAATGTAGCTGGGATTCTGTCTATAATAATATTTGTGAAGTGAATTTAGAGCTAAGGTATTGCCAAATACTCCTTCAGATCCAAGACTGTGCCTAGGCGACTTCTACTGCAATCTGCAGAGTACTCAAAGTTTGTATTTAAATAGAGATTTATAATGAATCTTCAGCGGTTAGCATACAGACTTTTTGTACTAGCTAAGCCAACAAATGCAAGAGAAAGGATTCCCTGTATTTTTAAGCACATTCCTTGCAGCCTTTTTTCACTGATTTCTACATGAAACTTTTCAACAAATTTCTAACCAATATTTAACTTTAACCAAAACCCATTTAATGTCAAAGTTTAATGCACACAAAAAACACTTAAATTTCCACTCACTCACTCGTAGCCAAAAACACGCACTAATATCACATTTATTCTGCCACTGAGACATGCAACACTTTAACAACATTAAACCCATAACTTTGCCCCAGAACTAACAGGCATTAAATCCAGCCATAACTCTGGCATAGAAATATGCTGCCAAAAATGTAAACAAATTGAATAATCTAATAACCCCGAACAAGAAGGACTTCTCTGACCTCTTTACAAGTCGTAATCATTTTTGCAAAGCCACCTACCACAACAATAACAAAAAAAACAAAAAATAAATAAATAAAACCCATAGAAAAACTTTAAGCTAAACCTCTTTTTAACACGAAGAAAAGAAGTAAAGTTAGCAAAGAAATGTGCTCTACGCTCTGCGCTCCCATAAGAAAGACCAAAAAATCAGCTGTCACAGTGGAATAATAAAAATAATTTATTTGCATTTTATTTGCGCAGAGCCCCTTGCCTTGCGGACTGTCTAGGAGCACCTAGCGAAGGAGGCTGCCTGCTGGCTGCTTGCTGCCTGCTTTCTTTGGGGGTTTCTGTCACTGACTTTGGCACTGACTTGCCCAGACCCAGACCCAGGCGCAAGGACAACAAGTTGGCGAAAGAGAGCAGAGCAGCAAGCAGCACCCAGCACCCAGAACTGGAGAAAGCAACGAAAAAAAAAAACAAAAAAGTAAAGGAAATTATAAGGATTTGACAGATGAGCGAATGCGACAGTTAGGAGGAGACACAACGCCTGGCACAGCGCCATGGAGCAGCAGTGGGGCATGGACTCCATGAAGGTAAAAAGTGGAGCACACAGCATTTGGTTTTGCTTTTGGATTGGGATTGGGATTGGGTATTGGGGATTTTTATTTGTATTTTGGGGCTGGGGAATGCTTTAAATTGAGCAGAAATTGTTTGTCACTCTCTGTGTGTGTGTTTGTTGCACTGCACTGAGCTTGCCCCAGTTTGGCGGCATGAATATGCATGCGGCATAGCGCCCATGGCCTGGAGTGGCAGCAGTGTTTTGGTTGTTAGAAAGAGGCGGATGGGAATGGGTATGTACGGTACGGGGGCAAGGTCACAGATATGCTAGCAAACGAACGAACGGGGAGAGGAGCGAGGCACCCTGCAACAGTTGCACTTGAGTGCCATTTGTCGAAAGAGGCCTAGCAATGGTCTGGCTATGGCTATGGCTCTGGCTATGGCTATGGCTATGGCTCTGGCTCTGACTCTGGCTGTGGTGGTCCGTGTGCCTCCCAGCAATTTGCATAATTACAAACGCACATGTAAACGAAACGCGGTTTCCTGTCCGCAATTTCCACTGCCTGCCTGCAACACACACACACGCGCGCACACGTCTCGATTTTTCACACTGGCGCCGCTCGCTTGCTTTTCCACACGCTAAAATGTACGATGTTTTTCACTGGGCTTTTCCGGCCTGCCGTTTCGTTCGGTTTTCTTGTGCCGCTTTTGGCGCCCGTTGCCGCTGAATGCTTCTTACCAACTAAATGCAATTTCAGTTTTGTTCTAGCCTAAAAACGAAGCCACACGAAGCCAGGGATCCCCCTAACGAGCGTTGAGGTTTTGTTCGGCAAATTTCGTGTGCGAATGGGCCAAACCGAATGCGGGAAGTTCGTTCTCGTTCTCGTCCTCGTCCGAGAGCCGTAGGCAGCAGCAGCAGCAGCAAAGCCTTCGGGTTTTTATTTTGTGGCGACTGCGCAGAGAGTGGGGGCACTGGCAACATGTTGCCAAGGGAGCGAAAGCGAGTGAGAGAGAGAACGAGCGCCCCATGTGGCAAGTTGTTGAACTTTTGTGGTAGGTTAGGGTTTCCAGAGCGTGGCTAGGAAAAAGATTTAACAAGTTGTCGTAGGACTGGGGCATAGAGGTCTTAGAGCAGATTTTTGTAATGATTAATGATAATATTTTTCGTTTAATTTTGGTATATAAATTGACTGCCTAAAAGCAGTTTAAAATATGTAGAAAATCAAGAGATTTTCTTGGTCGAATTTTTGTATTGTAATTAGTTGTGTCTTAGATATGTTTTATGGTTAATAACAATATCGAAGTCTGCAATTAAAATAAGGCTTTTTAAATTCAACAAATAAGTCAACAAAATGTACAAACAATGATCAGGAAATTAATGTTTTTTGGGGCAAACTAATCTGAATTTAATTTAATTTATTTATTTATTCGCCAACGGATTAACCTTATCTGGCTAAACTAACCTATTTCTAACTTAAAAAATATACAATAAACAAATAACAAAAACTAAACATTAAAAAAGAGATAGAGAGAGAGAGAGAGAGGGACAGATGATCTACATCCAATATTATGGTGTACTTAAGTAATTAGGAAAATAAATATATTCAACGAATTGCATGTAAATCTTTTATGCAACCAAATCTGCTCATATTTTAAGAGCTAGTGACGATCTATTTTGGGAGAAAAGGTATCGTTTACCCCTAAGAAATGGGACAACAGTGCTGAGTGCACTTTTTGCTCAATTTACAAAAACGTAGAATAGTTTCACTCGCAATGGCATTCGAATTAAATGAAAAATTAATCAATTTTATGAGTAAAACAAAACCCAATACATTATCCATATAATTTTATAATTTAAATTAATGAAATTCAATTAAAAAATTAAATAAAAATAAAATTCTTTAAAATATAAATATTTTCCTGGCCTGCTCTTAGATAGGTACTTAACGAATATGTTTTCTAGGAGTCTGATAATAAAAATATTGTTACAATTTTGCTAATTGATTTATGAATTAATGAATTGTATGAGTAAAACAAAGCCTAAGAATTATTAAATAAAATAAATTCTTTTAAACATAATTATTTTCCTGTCATTGGATGCTTTCTATTTGCTGTATTAGGCCTTGTTTTGGATACCCAATAAATATGTTTTCTATGATTTTCATAATAATTGATAATTGCTACATTTTTCTATTAATTGATTTAATTTAATTCCTAAACAATTCTTTATGTACGCTAATAATATATTGTGTTTTTTTTATGGGTCAGTCAGCAGACGAATTGCTTTCCTGCCGGAACGACTACTGTTGTTTATGGCCATAAACATGCACGACAGAAGGCCCGACGGAAGTACGCGAATCGCTTGTCGTTCTTGGCCAACATTTTTGCTCCAATCCTGGCCAACTCTCTGAGAGAGAGAAGCACAGACTGTTCCAATTCCATTTCGTACCGCTCTCTGGCGCGCTCTCTCTGTCTATCGCGCGCTCCTCTTGCAACATGTTGGCTGAATGCAATTGATGTCTGCCTGCAAGTGCATTTTGGCTTTTTTTTTTTTTGTGGCTGGTCAGGAATCAACAGTTGGGCCTGACAACTGCAGACAGAATGTTTGGTGCACAGACTCCTGTTTTTGGGGGCACATTGGGGCACATGCCACTATCTATTTAGGCGCAAGAGAAATAGTGTCGTGCAATCAGGAAAAGTGGCAACCACACACTACCCTCCCCCACCCGCTTTGCATTTTTTCTGAGTAGTTTATGGCTTGCCTGGCAGCTTGACGAACCAAGCCCTCACACCCCCCACAACATTCTGTGTCATGTGGCGCATAAAAAATATTTGCAAACTGGTTTTGTGGCAGGGGCAGGGCAAGGGGCACACAAAGAAAGGTTGTCCCAACACCTCAGCGCTCGCTCACAGACGGAGAGGGAGCGAGAGAGATAGTCAGTCGTACACAAAAGTTGTTAAAAAGTCCAAATAAATTTGTTTGTGTCGCTCACAGAACGAGGGACGAGGTATTTGGGTGCTGCAGAACGCCTCACAAAATGTTTGACATAAATTTATGCGTTTTGTGTGTTGCCGTTGCCGTTGCCCCACCGACACAACTTTGCTTGTAGATCCAAGAGAGTGAGAGAGAGACAGTGAAAGGGGAGAGGAGAACTCTGACTCTGACTCTGACTCCTGGCTGTAGTCATGGCTGAGGCTGAGGCCAACTAAAGTGTATTTCGAAATTGAGTTGTCATAAAAGCATTCAGCATGGCTGTATTTGGGGGGGGGTGTGTGTTTGGGTGTGTGCCCACAGTGGGCATTCGATGAGGGTAAATCTGATAATCTGATTTCTTAGATTCTTATTTTATAATTTCTCTCTCTGGGAGCATTGATGTTTGTGTGACTCGTGCTGACTCTACAGCGTCAACACGTTACTGTTTGTTAGCGAGAGAAAATAGCTGCAAAATGTCTACAGAATTTCAAGATTTACGAGTAAATGCTGTTTGCTGTCCATTTTCCTGTCGATTATCAATCGACTTGTGGTCATCCAAATTATAATGTCACTTTGATGGCTGATTGACTAATCCGTCATCGTTTTTCGTTAGTGATGTAAGATGCCTCTATAAACATAAAACTAACGAAGAGTCGATTAATTTTTAGTATTTTATACCAAAGAGCGAATATCATTTTATCACGTGATTTATATTTACAGAATTTTATGAATAAAAAAAAAATATTTTTTTAAATTAAAAATTAAAAAAATATATATTTTTAAATTAAAAATTTTCAAAATATATATATTTTTAAATTAAAAATGTTAAAAATATATACATATATTTTAAAATTAGAAATTACAGAAATTATTTTTAAATTAAACATTTAGGAAATATATATTTTTAAATTAAAAATTTAAGAAATATTTTTTTTATTTTGGAATTTAGAACGCTTAAGAAGGAATATTTTCTTTTGATTTCTTGCTTTAAATGTGCCTTGAATTTTCTATAAAACTTTCAAACACCTTAGGCAGTGCCCACTGTAGTTGACAGTTGCTCCGCAGACAATATTTTATTTGCATGCCAATGCCAAAACCATGAAGCAACTTCTCAGTGTGGTGGGGAGAGTACCCAGAGGTACCCTCATGACTTGTCTCAAACTTTGGATGCCCCACCCACCAACACCACACTTTTCTTTCTCCCCCCTTCAATACTTTCACTAGCTACCTGAGGTGGAGGTGGTGGTGGTGTCGAGGGGCAAATGGTGGGTGTGTGACAGGGCGAAACTTTTTTCGATTTAAATAAAAAGCCAGCAGCAATACGACAACACTTTGAACTTGCCATAGAAGGGTGAGCTGTACTAAAAAAAATATCTATAAAAATATGTCAACACTTTTAGAGACATTTGCGTAGAGCGTAGAGTAGAGAGCGTAGAGTGTGTAGAGTGGGGATGGACAAAAGCTCTCATAAAAACTATATTTATGTCTACAAATTTTATGGAGTGGCCTCTAAAATGTTTTCGTGCTGCTGCTTGCTAGTGAAATTTTTGCGAATATTCAACATGCTTTTGAAAGTATTAACTCTATTTTTAGCGCGCGTACATAATGCTTCTTCAATGGTTTTACATATCCAAAACTTGATAAGCCCTTTTGTGTTTGAGCCACCATTTTATGCATTTTCCTCCAGACCATTGTGCCAAAGTTAGCCGCCGCCTCATGCTTTTGTTGTTCTTTTCTGGTGTCGGTTTTCCCTATTTTTGTATTTTTTTTTTATTTTATATTTTCCGTTTTTTTGGTTGCCAGAAAAAGCAGCTGCCGTAACCGGCGGCAGTTTAAACATTTTTAATTAATTTACAGACACATGAGAGTGGGGTGGGCGGTGTGTGTGGAGCACGCTGACAGCAGCTGCTTGGTATGTGATGCACGTAAGATGCATGCAACGCGTGGCAGACACATACACACACAGGCAAATTAAGCTGCAGGATTCGAGGGGATTCTCTGAGTTGGGGGGGATAACATTAAAATTGTAGCGAAATACTTTTAGCTGCAGCTGTAGAGCTGTGCAACAATTGCTAGTTGCAACAGCAACTGCAACTTCAGTTAATCAAATGTGAAATGACATGAGCACACGCACACACACACTGAGGGTGAGAGAGAGACAGACAGATAGAAGGAGAGGAGAGGAAATGACTGTGAGTGGGTGAATGTTTTGGGCTGCCACATAAATCAGCGCCGGGGCATGCCCACTTTTACCCGCACCCACACCAATTCGCACTTAATTGCTTAAACAAAATGCCATCTCCAACTTCTTCAGCGAGGCCTCTGCGTGGGGAGGCGCGCACTATTGAGCAATTATGCAGCAGTGTCACGGCCCCAAAAAGTATGCTATACAAAAGGAAGAAAGAAAGCTTTAAGCTATAATTTCGACTATAAAGATACCTCAGCTATTTTGGGGAGTATGCAAAAATAATCTTCTTACACCTAAAGTGTTCAATATAGATATATTTATATTAATAAAATTTTATATACATATATTAATATAATTAATTGTATAGAATTATATTAATATACTAATTAATATTAATATATATAATATTAATCACAGACTACTAAATTTAATATATATTATTATTATTATTATTATTATTATATTATTATTAATATATATAATATTATTATATTATTATTATTTAGTGGTCTGTGAGATCGAGTTGCTCATTTTATTAGAAAAACATTACAGGTGGCATTTTTTTGCC